CAGACTTAGGGCCATCATGGCACGTCTTTGGTCTGTGACGGTTCTAAGACTGTTTGCAAGAACCCTGGAAGTTGTAGAGCGCGCACCGGCCAATCAGCTGTGAGCTGTGAAGCCATGACGTCAAAGTCGTCGCGCCTGTCTGAGACCCTTTTGTGGAACAGCACAACAGTAAACAAATTTGCCCTGCAATATAATTATATTTGGCCCACGAGATCATATCAAATATGTATTAGAGCTGCCCAACAGCTGCAGATAGACTATAGAAATATTAGTTATTTAAAATTGTATTATTATTTTATATTATGCTTGTTCTAGATTCAGTGTTTAAGCAAAACTATTATTAAACATTTAATTTCATAAGACAAGGTTTAACATTTCATATATCAAAAGAAGAGAAAAAATTCACATATTGCTAAAATTTTTCAGTATATATTTAGTTTGGCCCACGACTTTGTCCCAGTTTTTAATTTTGGCCTCTGTGAATTTGAGTTTGACCCTCCTGATGTAGACAAAGACAGACATTCTGTGTGCATCTGAGATTAAGGATTTAAAGCCGGAACAAAGAGAATGTTTGGTGAATTTATTAAGGGTAAAGACGTTATCGTTATTGCCCTTCTTCCTACGGGATTTAGCGCATTACATATGTCACAACCAAACAGCAGCGATTGGTTAAATAAAAGAAGTACCCGCCTACCATCAAGTGAACAAATACTTATGCCTGCAAGGTCAGACAATTTCCACAAAGTGAAACCGGCTGATGAATCAGACAAATTCTGGAGTAAGGCAGTGAAAAACTATTGAAATATCGATGTGACGTTGTGTGACGTGACGATCTTTTGTATGATGATACAGCATCGATAATGTGGGCTGCTCTATCAATATATCACCAAGAGCATTTTTTTGTATATTTTACTAAATTATTTTGCTACAGTGCTACAGTTTTGTTGCTTGTTTAGAGGAAAGAACCTCGTTTATGCGACACATTTGACATTTTCACTATTCTGAGGATTAAAATGGACGTGTTTCACTTTAACAAGAAGTGGTTTAAGAAAGACTTTTAATATCACAGCCATGATTTAGCCTTTATTTTTTATTGAACCGTATCAAATTGATTTGAAATATGCATCATATCAGCAACTTCTTAATGATACTCAGCCCTACTCTGGAGTCTGGGTGCAGCGACCTGCATCTGCAATCAGGCTTTGTCATACAAAAAAACACTACCCAGTAACAGTAAAAGAGCTCTGCCATGAACGCAGGATACTGGTGCAACGTCTGGAATATTAGTACATTTAAACAATCTACCTGGCTTTTTTTTTTTCCTTTTTTTTTTATAACAAGTGTTTTTTTTTCTCAGAAAAATATAAAACAAACACATGCATTCTTACTGTGAGCAGAGCTTGTCTCTCCACAGATCTGACCTGTACACCATACTGTGGAACATTCCAGGCAACGCAATAATATCTCTACAGCAATAACAAGCAACTTTTATCATTTTATTGAAGCACTAAAGTTAAAAAACAATTAAAATAAAAATGTTTCAAATTGTCAAATAACTTGTCAAATTGTAGAGCTGCAGCAGCCTTGTAATAATAATAACCAAAAAAACCAGAATGAAAATCCATCAACTGTGGACCAGATCAGTAGTCAATAGAAAACGGGGCTACCTTGTTATCTATTGGCTGTTAGCTTGTCAATCAAACTCCCTACATTTCTAGAATAAGTGACTTTCTGGCGTGCTGGGATTACGTGGTTTACATTCGCCTCTCATGCAAGACGCTGTTTACTCGATCAGCGCAGCAGTTCTCAGCGGCTTTTTTGAACTTTAGTTTCCTCACAGTTCCCACAAAGTTTGCTTAAATATCAGACAAGAATCCACGACCAGTCCGCCATAAAAGAAAGTCCATTTTTGAGGTCGCTGAAAGAGGAAGAGAAGGGAAAAAGGAGCGAAGCCAAACTAAGGTGATTCTTGGAGATTCCTTCCAGCGATGGCGCGACTGAAGCAGACGAAGGGCCTAAAGACTGACGCGTCGGTCGATAAATGACTTAAATGGCCAGGAAACTTCAACAGCAACTCATTCAGCAATTTGTTCACGCGCATCGGCTGTAAACAAGCATGATTTCTAGCATAAGGAGGAGGCGTTTCTACTTCGGGAGCTGTGGTGGAGGAGGTGGTGTCACGCATGAGCAACATTTGAAAAAGGACAAACGGTCGCTGTATTTCTCTTTCCTTGGAAAATCCTCTATACAACCTTTAATAATTACTTTTTAAGGGTGACCAGCTTCGCAAAACACAACAGTTGGTCTATTTATTCACTCTCCACTTTCTGGTGTACGCAGCTCAGGCTGTCAACTACAAAAATACGTCCATCAAAACATCCACAAAACTAAACTATTTTGAATGAGATAAATCGGCAAACCCCTGGACAATTTCATGTCCGTTAACTCTTTTAAAAAGCCATCAAATTCAGCTGGAAAACTGCAAACCTGGCAACCCAGAGATGCCCTTGCTAACATAAACATGGCGAAGAATCTGCACCAATGGCCTCTCCAACGCAAGATCGCAACTGTCTGAACTGGCTCGAGCAGGATTGTCTTAGAGAATGTTGAAATCAAGTCAAAATGAACAACATTGTCATATCATCGGTTTAAATTATTCTAAAATATACAGTATTGTTTTGGAACTAAACATATTCATAAGTATGAGCCACAACTATTAAAATAAAAGTCCTAATACTGTGAGTGAAATTACACATTAAGCTTTATGACGCAGCTCACTTTTATTTGTGAGGCGAGAATTGTAAGAGGAGTGATTCATGGTTCAAGTCCAGACTTTTGAGAGCGAGTTAGTTTCCTGCAGCGTGAATTATGACAGTGGAGATCCTCAGTGACAGACAGAGGAAGTGTCCCAGTGTCCAAATATCTTTGAACACATCACACAAGTTAAAGAATCTGTCTGAAACGCACAAATCACTAGATACATGACATAAGTGTTTCAGAACTTTCTATGATTCTTTGTATCCATTAATGCCATTTCTGCTTGTCAAAAGTATCGAAAATCAGGTACTAATCAATAATATAATATAGATACTAATTTGAGCAGGTATCAGTGCTAAAAAAATAAGTCAAAGGACAGAAATGAAACTTTCCTGAATAGCTTTAGTTTGATCTTGAGCTACATCTGAACAAGTATAAGAGCACATAGTATACAGTATGTGTACAGTCGTCTCTCGCTATATCGCGGTTCACCTTTCGCGGTCTCGCTGTTTCGTGGATTTTTTTAGTGCAGTTTTGAATGCTTTTTATTACAGTGTATGAACGCGCATTGCATTCCTCTTGCTGTGTCCTGATTGGCTAAGGGACTCCTGTCTCCTGTGCAGTACAGTACAGAATGTGTTCAGCCAAATGTACATAAATGTTGGATCTGTAGCAGTGTGATTCTCAAGTGTTGTATGTTTGCAAGTTTTCTCCCCGACAAAACCCACTATGTCGACGAAACGTTCTGCACTGAACAAGTCTCCTCGCACCTTAAAGGCAGAGGAAGATGCAAACCATCGCACAAAAAACTGAAGGAAGGAAGAGGTTACGTGCTGTATCAGAGTCTTGTCCTGGGTCGGGTACCCGCAAATAGTTGCTGAAACCCGGACTTGAAGCGTGATCAGGCTACGGGCGCTTACCTTTGTGAGGTGCGGAGCTGAGCTGGTCCTTTCTCCTACGGTCACCTTCAAGCCCGTCCTGACAGTGAGTCCTGTTTCAGTTCTAGTTTAGTCCTGGTTTACTGCTGTTTTAGTCCTTGTTTTAGTCCTAGTTCAGTCCTGGTTTAGTCCTCCTCTTCGGTCCTGGAATCAGTCCTAGGTTAGTCCTGGTTTAGTCTTGGTTCAGTCCGTGGCATATGCAGCGCAAAAGTTTGATATAATCTCAGGTTAATGGGCGGGTGCCGGCGGGTGCGGGCGGGTGCAATGCTGTACTGAACTTTGCGGGCGTGAGTCTCCAAAAATGGACCCGTGCAGGACTCTGCGCTGTAGGGCTCTATTACAGAATTAATGAATCATTGGTTTGTTACATAAAGAAGGAGGAAAATAACATAAGGACGACAGCAGCAATAAGTTTTAAGTCTGAGAAAAGTGTATAAAGTGTGTGCTGAGGGGTTTTACAGCCTTAAAACAGATATAATAATTGTAAGATATTTAAAGTTGACTACTTCACGGATTTCACCTATCGCAGGTTATTTTTAAAACGTAATCCCCACGATAAACGAAGGACAACTGTATACGCCCATGGGTCACTATGGAACCTACCTGGACCACTGAGACAGAGATAGAGCTGGTCCTCTATCCCACGTACAGCACAAAAAACATACTGCTCTTCTAGACCAACATTGGAACCTCAGTGCGAAACGCTAAAACACATTTTTAATTCCAAATTACTTCCTGAATTGGTGGTTTTCAGATTCTAGAATGTCTCGGGAGCAGGAGCCAGATTTTCCTTGTACTATTTTCATTGTACTTTGCCATGAAATTGCCAGAAGTCACAAATTTTGGATCTGATCATTTCTATGGGTGACTAGACCCAAGAACTCACAAAAGTCTGAATTTTAGCAATATACATTTTACCTGCCCCCATCTGTATTCAATATTATCAGCCTATAGAATGTTGTGATGCCACCTGAATCCCAGCAATACTGTTCTAGCCCCGCCCAATGATGCTGCTAGAGTGGACATAGTGCAGGCTCAGAGCGGGGTTAGACTAAATCTTACACATCTTTAGGAGCTTTTAGGATTTAGAAATTCTAAAACGTTCATATTGTAAAAATCCCAACAATATCCAATGCTCTCTCAGTCAAATACGGGCAGCTTGAATCCCTCTGAAGCCACTGCACCCATTGGACCCGAGCTCCAGAGAGCTGCAGTACCTGGAGTGAACACTAGTGGGTCTCACACGGGGACAGAGGGGGAGTATTACACCCAGTTCTTATTATCCATGCCAGTAATAAAGGATACTGTTCCGACCAATTGGAACTCTGAATAGTTGTCACACTTCCAGCTGCTGAACCAATGACAGCGCGAGTCCTTCATGTAGGTGAACATACCTGCGAAGAAAAGCAAACACATGAGATTAAAACAACATAGCAAATGTATCAGGAAATAAACATAAATAAATAAATATTTACAGGTGTACTACATACGTTTGCTTGTAGAGGGGACACCACAAGCTTGTCACCATGGAATGTTCCTCAGTATGTAAGTAAGTTATTATTTTTTGCTCAAAAGTACCTTGAAAAACTGACCTGACGTGTAATTTAAACTGGTAGAGGCAATAGTTATGTTTATGGTTATACTGTGTACAAGTCTCTCCATGTGCCGAGCACCAAAGTCCATCTGTGACATGTTAGTGTCATATGAACCATCTCACACTCTGAGGAGCTCAGGGACCGACCTCCTGCTGGTGCCCAGAGTCACGACTAAACAAGGGGAGTCAGAGTTTCAGGTTCATGCAGCTAAAACCTGGAACAGTCTGAACATGTGAGACAGACTCTTCTGTGACGCTGTTTAAATCCAGACTCAAAACATTTCTGTTTAACTGTGCAAATAACTGAAAGGTTTTCATTCCGCACTCTTCTCTCCAATTTATGTCTCTCTTTTTTAATTTTAATCTTGATGATTATTTATGTTTTGATTAGTTTTTATTATGATTTTAATGTATTTCTTATTCTGTAAAGCACTTTGAATTACTTTGTGTACGAATTGTGTTGTACAAATAAACTTGCCTTGTCTTACTGCACAACAGGAGTCTCCAGCCTTTTTTTCTCCAGGCCAGGTTTTTTTATCTGATTCATCAGCCGGTTTCACTTAGTAGAAACCGGCTGACGTCGCACCTTAGAACCTCTGACCTTCGAACTTTTTTTAACCAATCGCTGTTATTTGGTCGTGACATATGTATTGAGTCACTTACGGGGCTAACTGGTATATGAAGCTTTTCCCAAATCCCGTAGGAAGAAGGAGAATAACGTCTTTCCCCTTGATAAAATTCAACAAACATTCTCTTTGTTCCGGCTTTAAATCCTCAATCTCGGGAACTGCCAACACAGAATGTATCGCTCTTCAGTGGTGCTCGCACTTCCAAGGTTCTTGCAAATCATCTATTGTATTCTGATTTCTGACCGAGTTGCTGGACAAAAATGAAATTGAACGGAGGCACTAGGTGACGCCAGCCTAGCAAAGGTTTTTGTGCTTTACAAAACAAAAATGCCAGAGATCTGCCAATTTCAGCAGTCGCAAAGTAACTGAGTAAATATAAGAGCCACGGCAAGTCTTAGATAGGCAACAGTTATTTGCTTATAAAACATAAACTATTATCAATTTATCAATGCACCAAGTTACGCAAATTTTACTTATTATCCACAATACAGAGAATTCAGAAATCCCTTGGCGAGCTACTTTAAAGGGTGGAGAGCTACTGGCAGTTTCCGAGCTACAGGTTGGAGATCCCTGTTGTAGAACGTTCCAGAGAAAAAAAAAAAAAAAGGAAAAAAAAGAAAAAGCATCTCAGAGAAGCAGGTGGCAAATACTCCATCAGTAAAGTAGCATATTGTGCCTTTGATAAAAACAAGGATTAAAGGTACACTACGTAACTTTTTGGTTGGGTGTTACTTGCTTGTTTCTATGGATGTGTCATTGCTCTGCCTGGAATGTTCCACAGTATGACATTAATCAGCTCTACCTTACATTTATTCAATTACAGGTGGATTTATAGCTCAAAAAATGTCCTAAAAACAGACATTCTGACCGTGAGTGTTGTCTCCTCTCCACAGATCTGACCTGTAACTTGGTCTGGTTTGGTCTTCATGAAGATAGAAAGGTTTAATGCCATACTGTGAAACATTCCAGACAAAGTGATAACATCTCCACGGAGAAAAACATCTGACAGACCCTCCACCAGAAAAGTTACACTATGCATTTAAAAAAAACACACTGCCACATTTTTGCTTGTTAAATTCCTCGATCTACGTACAACCGTTTTGAGTTAAACAACAACAGGCCTCAAACAAACATACAGAGAGTAATTTTCTCTGATCTCCTCACATCAGACACACACATACAACGACACACACTGTAACCGTGACAACACAACACAACACAAGCCTCTACTGTACTGACAGCTGCTCGCTCTCTTTTGAACACCTGCGCGTTGTTTACAGGATCACTGACATCTGCCCGTTTGTGAAAATGAAAGTACATCACAACAAGTGCATTACCTGTTGTCATGGTAACACTTAAAAGACATAATATAGAAGATAAATTGTTTAATCAGATTTTGAATTTTAAATACCGATGAATTTCTCAGTTTGAATTATTTTAACTCTGAAAAAACTAAAAAAATGTTTGAATTATTTTTATTCTGGATGTCATTTGATGAAATTTGACATACTCTGTACTTTTCTGAAATGTTTAAAATTCAATATAAAACATATAATGTAAATATAGATAAATAAATATAATATAATATAAAACATAAGCTTTTAAAAATTCAGCACAAATCTTTCAAACCCTCAAACAGAACAAAAGTGTAAAATTTGCTGTGAAAAAAAAAAAATCGCAGAAAAGATCCAAGATACCAAAAAAGTAAACATAAAATTTCAGAAACTAAAATTCAACATAAAAATAATTCAAACATCTTTTTTCAGAGTTACAAAATTCAAAGTGAGAAATTCAGCAGTATTTAAAAAATTCAAAATCAAATGGAACAAATGATCTTCCATCCCATAAGACTCGACACTAACGCCTTTGATCATGACGTCAAATGACCCGTGAAATTGGAGCAAATTTTAAACGTAGCAACAAAACAAATTCAAAAACAACGTCCTCTCAACAGACTTTGTATTTTGGATGAAGGTCTGTCAGCCGTGAGTGTTTAGTTGATTAGTGATTGCATTGCCCTGTACTTTTCCGTTCTGAGGGTCCGTCATCTGCTTGTATCCATGATGATTTTATTACGTTGTCTCGATTTTTGATCTCGAATGTTCCACAGTATGGGAATGATAAACTTATTTATCTTGCATATTACATTTCATATCATTTTCTGATCAATGTTATAATGTTTCTTTGCCAAAAACACACCTGGAGTTGTATTTTGTTTCATTCCCACATGTTTAACACAAAAACCCAGTTCTTCTCTAAAACTAAAACAAAAAAAGACTCTGTTCCAGTTTGTGATGTCATGTGGTGATACAGGAAGTGCTTCACTGTGTTTTTAAACTCCATACACCTTCACTAGAATCATTTGGATCATTTCAGCCCTGCCGATCTCTAATTATCAAAGGGTAAAAGGAGCTGTTCACTTGAAAACTATCACTTCATGACATCACGGGGTGGAACAAAGCATTTTGAGCTTTGAAACTATAGGCGAGTTTCATTGTTGACAAAAGCGCACGTTGCATGCTGGGAAATATTTTGGTCGGCGGCAAGAAACACTAATTCAACATGACGGACGGAGCGAGAAAACACGTAAAGGGTATTGATCCCGGTTATTTATCCACTCTAACGGCAGAGGACCCAAGAGCATTTGACCAGAAATTGGTCATAAGCATCGATGGACGACAAATCACCCTTTTCAACCCCGACAAAGCCTGGACCAAACCAAATTTCTGGTCAGAATCACCAACTACCTGGACAAATATTCACTTGGGCGATATCCACAATGACTTGGTGGAAACTCCTGGGCCATTCACAGCAGAAAAGATGAAAACCTCCAAGAGTCTCGATGTGTTGTTGAACTTGTTGGAGTCCACGGTTTGTTAGGATCTTCTACGTTTGCTCTGCGGATGTTTGAAAGTCATTTAATTCACCGTTAGCGGTTCTTTTCACTCAGAATACGAAAAAGACATTTTCCTTCTTCCGTGCTTCTATTTGTGCATCCGATAATGCAGCAGGAATTTACCATTATCGGGGAGAAATACGCGAGGTTACGCACTGTGTTTGACCGCTATCCTGTTTCTTGCCTCCGACCAAAATATTTCCCAGCATGCAACGCGGGCTTTTAATAACAATGACGTCAGCTGAAACTCGCCTATAGGCAGACTAATAATAAAGAGTTACTCAAACATGTGTGAATAAAACAAAACAACTCCAGGTCAGTTTTTGAGGAGGCAACAACATTCTAACATGGCTTAAAGCTCACAGGAGTCAATGAGTGCGTATACATGCACATCAGTATCCTGGTTATTAGCCATATCCCGGTTCTGTCAGTATTCGGGTTACTGCGTTTACATGCGCACTGAGAAACCGGGACACTCATATCCCTGTGTACATGATCAACTGTAGTATCCTGGTTTCTTGACATAATCTTACAAATGCGCAAGCACAAAAATTAACTTAAATCAAATTAATAAACCAGGAAGAATACAAACCGTGAGCTCCTTTAGCGTAAGAAGCACCAGCGGTACGGAGCTACGAGATCTCCCACAATCCACTGCACACATCAAACCCAACAGATTCTTCATTAAAATCTTCTGATAAATAAACTCAACTTTACAACATCTAAACCAGAACCACTGTAGATCCACATCAGCAGGTTTGATCATATAATTCAGCTTTGACACATTTGTTTACGTTTTACAGAAATGAAACTTAAGACCCCATGGCTAATTATCATCATCACCGATAAAATCAGTTCGCTCCTTGTTCCGCTGATGCGATCAGCTTCTGTCAGACAAAAAGACACGACTCAGTGGATTATGTGTGTTTTCTTTGTGACAGAGGAGGTGCTAATGATGGTGAGTGTGTTCTGTGTGTATATCGTAGGAGATACTTCATGTTTTAGCTTTTCAGTGATCATACGTGTGCAGGTTTAGCACAGCTTTTTATTCTACAGTCATTTCACTCATGTATGGTCACCTTATTTAATGCTGGTCACTTTATTTATGTCGCTACTGTTGCGGTGAAATGACTGGAAAGTGTTTGTCTTTTGGACGCATGCGCACTCCACTTTATGTTGCAGTATCCCGGTTACTATCAGAATAAACCAGCTACAGTATCCCGGTTTCTCAATAACTGGGATACTGTAACCGGGATACTGAAACCGGGTTACTGC